TGAAAAAGATGTTTGGAAGAAGAATCATCATTGACAAAGACTATACTGTGACATCAGTCTTTACTAGTCAAAAAAAAATGCATAGGAATCACAGAAACACATATCTACAAGAAACCAACCTTGAGTGGTTTCAGTGAATTGCAAGGCCAGRCAAATCTTTGTTTTCAACTGTAGCAGCAACTCATATTCACTAGGAACCAATATCATGTTAAATTTTACTATTCGTGTATTTCAGCTGCCTCAGTGTATAATCATTCTCAATTAATTTTTACACATAAAAAAGAAAGGAAAAACAAGGGAAAAAGAAAAATAAAAGAATTGAGGAATTGGTGGGGTTTCCTGGTCTCAATAAACTGAACAATAAATGGGTGCTTTGTGCTGTTTACTTCCTGACATGATCCGTGGCCTGAAGGAAGTTGCAGATACCTTAGTCTGAATGGCAAACAGGGAAGATGATGCTTCACATGAGCACTGCATTACAACTATGCAGCTGACGATAATGTTGAGAAGTTACTCACAAAACACTTCATAGTTTCATCAAAAAACTTCTGTAGCAGAGTAAGCTCAGCAGCTTTAAAAGTCTCTAGTAAAGGTGAGCTGTGTCCTCTTGATATGTGCAGGGAATGCCTATGCCTGAAGAATAGGCTTGAAATTCRGTTTCAAAGAATAGGTTTTGGAACAAGGTGGGAGCAACTGCCACACAGGCAGCCGTAACACACTATGTCCTTCAGTGCTCCTGGTGTTACATCAGCAGAACYTATCTCATTCTCAGACACTTCCTCCCTTTGCCACCTCCAGCCCAAAGCTTATGCACAGACCTCTGTAACACACTTCCTTCACATAGCTCCCACCTGTTAAGCACATGTGCATGCCATAAAGCCTAGCAGCTGTTCCCAATGCCCTGGCCAATTTCCCTCGGAGACACACAGGGAAAACATTGTTTTCTGCCAGGACAGGCATAGGATGAAGAGTGGGCATCTACAGCTAGCCATTTAAATACCTTTTTAAGCTTTCCATTTTCTATTTTCTGGTCCTTCCTTCTCCTAGAAAAAAAAGATAATGTATGATTGGCAAAGCAGTGAAAACAGTGGGAACATGAGGATGAGGAACAACAGATGGCCTCTTTCAGTCCAGACTTTTCTTGATGTTCAGTGGGCAGCCAGTAAGTTAACATGCAGGCCCGCTTCTTTGGGCCCAGCAGGTCCACATATGGATCTCAACAGGTGCATATATAGTGAACAAAGCTCTGGACTTCAAGAGACTCATTCCTTTACCTTCACAAAGCTTGCAGACCATTATAGTTCCATGATAGTGGCAACCTCCAAAATGAAATTATCATGGTGACTGCAAATAGCAAGAGATTATATGACCCATCCTCCTCTCTGCTCCTCTTCACTGAAGGTTAGCTGGTTAGATTCCCCAGTTCCCCTCACAGACACTAGCTGTAGGAGGAAGTTTCATCTTGCTATCAAGACCACTCAAATGACATCCCTCAAACTACTTGTCCATGCCATGCATGGAAAGGAGAGAGGTGCTGTGTTCCAGACTGCTGCCTTTCTAAATGAATGCTAAGTGAGTGCACCTGGTGCAGGAGTGAAGGCTGGACTGGAGGGGTCTGTCAGATTGGRCATAAGGACACACTACTGCAATGTCCTCTAAAAAGTCTCTCCACACATGCTTTCAAATAGCTATTCTCATCCAACACAGTCTCTTTCTGAGGTCTGATCTCTTCATKGGCTGGACTGCCTATGAGTAAAACCTCATTATCCTCCCATACCATTTTTTTGATACCCCTAACCAACATCCTTTGGTTGTTAAACAAGGCCTCATCCTCCAAGTTCATAAGGTCCTCAAAAGGAAATTACCTGCAAAATTATGATTAGCCTCTGGCAACTTTTGGTCAGCAAAACCCATGCTGGACTTGAGCCTCTAGGAGCTCTAGGGGAGACAGATGAGAAACACAGAGTGCGCTGACCACTGTATGTATAAAAGGATATTCTCATTTTCCTGCCTCACAACAGAGGCTATCTTTGTRCAGACCAAACCAGACAGGAAATGTGATATGCTGCACTTCAGAAAATTTGATTTGTGTGTGGAAAAAGAGAGGTGGTGTGTGCAAGCCTACCTGTGAACTGGGCAAACATTGGGCTGTGGATTTGTACTGGTATGTATGTCTTGATTTGGAAGGTGAGGAGAATGTTTATTTGGGGAAACGTCTCCTGTGGTGATAAGATGTTTTAAAATTCAGTATTTCCCACAGAGCCTGTGAGGGATTATTTCTCTATTGCTGTGAAGGAACATGAATTTTCAGAAGAAAGTGGCTATATCTTTTGCATGTCTTCTGGCCTGTTGGACAAGCTATGTAAAAACAAGCAGAGCAGCAGCTAGGAGTCCCGTTGCTGAACAAAATGAGAGGCTCAGGTCAGAGGGGATGATTCCTTCACCTCCTGTGGTCTGAGGATGTGTTTGGCTAGGTCAACAGTCTGCAGGATGGTGATTCCTGTGGTGTCAGATTATCCACAGGTGTGAGGTTATGCCTCAGACACACGGCACTGTCCTTGTTCCACTCCACTGTCCTTGTTCCACTCCACATCTGACCAGGATGGGTCCTGTGAAACCGGGGCAATGGTTGGGAGGCTTGTTTGATTCTGGAGTTGCTTAGGTCAACGACTAGAATATTTTTTTCACAAATCAGCCCACATGTCTACTGGGGGTTAACTCCTATCCTGTTTCAAATTGACCTGTGCACACATGCAGAGTGAGCACTCATATTCCCTTGAGAATGATACGGGTGGTCTGTACAGGTGTTTGAGTCTCTTGTCAGTGTCTTGGGATGACAGTTCCTTTTCTTTCTATTTTGCTCCCCAGCAACAGTTCCATACTGGTCCCCAGTATAACTGAGCACTGCAAACTAACACCTGATCCCTCCGCCCTTGTTTCTGCACCTATTGCTCTACCAGCAGGAAATAGGACGTGGTTTGGGGCTTTTTATTCTCGGCCTCACTAGCCTTTTCGATACTTTGGGGCCTCGTCTCAGTCTGACAAGGCAAGCAAGTAGCAGCTTCCTGTGCAAAGGTGAGAGGGAGAAGACAGTGAGATTGAGCATGAACTAGAGAAACTGCTCCAGACTTCTGCTCTTGCAGAACTGTTTGGTTGGAAGCCTCTTTCCTCACACCAGCAGCACTGGCAGACAGGTGGACATGCACTGAGTGAGGATCCTCTCTGCGTCCCTCTCTCCTCCCTGAGTCTCCCCCATAGTTTTACAACCAGCTCCTGCTTTCATCCAACCCAGTCCCCAGGGAGTCCCTTCATCTGGACCAYCTAGCAGCCACTGCCTGGAGCTAGAAGGTAAAAGGGGTGATACCAGCTGCCTCCCACGTGGGGGTGGCTCATCTGAAAGGCGTCTTGGAAGGAGTTTCGGTCTGACAAACCGATTCTTGCTGTTGGGGAGGGCTGAGCGTATATTTATCTCTCTGTCTTTCCACAGCCCTCTCAAATAATACCCCACATTACAGCCACCCCAGCTGCTTTCTTTCTATCTCTCTTTGTCTGAGAATGTGTTGTCGTCCTGTTTTTCTTCTTAACCCAATCTTTTATCATAACTGGAATCTATATTATGCCTCATTCCAGACCATTAACTCCATCTCCTGTGGCAGTCCCAAGAAGGTTTCACAGCTCCGTGTTTTGCTTCGCTCATCCCTGCCTGTGCTACAGACTTGCTGAGAGGTGAGGATGGTTCTTAATCTCTGGGCAGAGAAAGATGCCTAGAGGGATGTGGGAGGGGGAGTTTGGACTTTTATRGATGAGAAACCCAAAATCTCAGTCCATCCTACATGGACCAGGACTGTACAGGCTTGGCAGGACAAGCAGGCTCTTTGACAAGGGCAGATGGGGGGAGTCACAGGCTTACTTAACTACAGCTTGAATTTTCTGCTACACCTAAAAGCAAGGGTCCTTCTGAGGCAGCGCAAACRTCTATTAGTCAAGAACGGTGCATGACTTGTGCATGAATGTTCTGTGCATGAATGTTGTGCATGAATAGTTCTGTGGTAAAGACTTGCCTTTTAAAACCTGATAAAATTCCCTTGCTCCTTGAATTTTTTTCCTGTCCCAAGAAAGCCTATCTCCTAAGCTATGTGCTCTACCACTAACTCTTGCTGGCAGCTGAGGGCTGCCTTACTCAACTAACACCTAGTTAATTCACCCCTAGGACYTAAAAAAAARAAAAAGAAAAAGAAAAAAAAAGCAGCTCTCTAAAACACAAGCAGTCAAGCAATGCTTAACAACTCTCTACCTGAGTCAGCAAGCAGCCTGAAACAATACATGCACGGTGATGTGCACTCACATACATTTCCAGAAGTCATTACCTCTGCAAACAGCCTGTGTGCCTTGCGCTATGAATGGTTTCATTGCTGAGCAAAGCACCCAAAGCAGAAAAACTGTGAGGTGCCGAGAGAAAAGTGTAGCTTCTGGAGGAGAAGAAATACGAATTTCTAAGCCTGGAAGAGTGACTCTGGCTTTAAGCCTTTCTCTGGGACTGAGAAGACATCCTCTGAGATGAGACCTTCTTAATATGCATTGCTAAGCTATGTTGGGGTGGGATGGGGGTCTTCTCTCTTCCTCAGTTTCACCAGTACAGATGAAGTCCTCCTTGCTGCTTCTGTGCCATCTCTGGCTGTTCAGCCTCTCGCTGGCATCTGACTCCACACAAGGTAAGAAGGAATTCTCTTCTCCCATGGYAGCAGGATTAACAGGGGAGGATGTCAGGGGAGTGTGTGTGGCATGGTACACCATGTGTGCTTGCATTGTAATGGATGAGCAGAGGAGGTTGCGATAAGAGTCTCTTGCAAGTATATCTTGCTCCAGGGACACAGAGCAGATAGAGATGTGAGTGGTTCTGCTTCTTTTAATTTGGTTATCCATTTTTCTAGTAAAGGAACTGATCTTTATTTTGGGAGGGCTTAGGATTGTCTATGATGGCTGTTAATGCCAAAAGACATTGCTGATTCATCCGTGTTACTGTCCGTCTCTACTCCACTGGCAGATACCTCCAATCTAACTTGTTGGTATGACTCACGAGCAACTTTGTTTTGCACTTGGAACCCAGGCAGAGACCTCGCTGAAGTACCATGCCATCTGGAGATTTTATCAAAGTTAGCCTTGTATGACGGGTAAGTGACTGGAAAGACTGAGCAAAGTCAATGCTTTGAATGAAGATTGTCCAGGAAATTCTCCTTAATATAAATCTAGGCCACTCCTCCACAGGCCAGGTGTTGAGGATTCACAGAAATGAGGGGCTTTGCCTTTGAAGTTCCARTTTCTCTCTAATCCTATGCTGAATGAGATGCCAGGCTCTGCTTAGCGTTCATTTTATGAAGCTACTCAAATGTCTATCACAGCCTATATTCCACCTTCATTGCTCTGTTCATGCTTCATTTTCCAGAGAGTTCTATTCCCTGAACGGAAGGCTATTTGCAACCTAAAAAACAAACAGAGAAAAGGGGAGGTGGAGGGAGGAAAGGTGTAAAGTTATATAGGAACTATTTGCAAGGAATGGCTGGTCAGAGTATGAATGCTATACTTTCAGTGACAAATCTTCTTTACCTTGTTATAGTCTTCTTTGGCCTTTTCACCTCTTCCAGTTCATAATAGCTTCCTCTAACATACATTACCCATCACAGGGATAAACATGTGTCCAGCACTGCAGTAAGGGTTGACTGGGTCTCTGTGGTCTCCAACAATGACATCTTGAATGAAGAAAGGAGCCAGCCTGCTCTAGAACTTTTCTGAGTGCCCATAAAAAGAAGAGGCCCAGTGTGGTTCTAGCAGTGAACAGGTTTCTCCTGGCTTCCAGTAAGAGCATCTTCTAATAGAGCTGGGATTGCTGGATACACTCTAGGACTGGTGCATAGAATTATGCCAAAACATTGCTATTGCTCCGTAAGATTGAATCAAAAGCGCTGAATCTGGAATTGGGGCTGGGCTAGGAACTGTACCAGGTTGACCAGGACTCGAAGACATCCCACATGTGTGCACAGTGTGTTTTGCATCCTCTGCAGCAAACCACTCACTGGGAGGACCAACTGGCCTTTTGCCCTTCAAAGTTCCTTGGTCTGCTGCTCTAAGGAGCTGGGTTACAGTTGACTCTTCAAGGAAAGTTATAGGTGAAGATCTCCTCTTCCACCCTTAGCAACTCCCAATTTGGTTTGACCTAACAGCTGCAGCACCCAGCTCTGCCTGGCACATCCTCTTCTGCAGCTCCCCTGCTGCTCTCCCACTCTGTCACCTGCTGTGCCATATCTCACCTTAGGTGGTTCAACCACACTTGTCAGTGTGACTTCTCAGGGGACACAGAGCAAAAGAGAAGCTATACAGCACTGCCAAGCGTGAGGTACAGCCCTTGCTGAGTACAAGATAGGACCTGGTTCAGAGGATGTGTCGCAGTATTTGAGACACTACAGGACTGTCAAGAGCTTGAAAGAGACTTGCAAACCCTAGAAGCGATCAAACAGATGCCCTTCTCCCAGGGCCACACTAACACAGCTGTGGGCAGCAGGAATGTTTAAGATCTACATGCCCTTTATTACTGAACAGGAAGTAGAGGRGGTAGCCAGACATTTTTGTAATGCCTCAGAGATTGGGAAGCTCTTGCCATCTTTGATTTGAAATAGCTGGGATGCATGACTTTCCATGTTGCAGTACATATGTCTGAGGGATGTGATGGGGAAGGGGAGAAGGGTGCAGGTATGCCATTGCAGGATTTTGCTAATTTAGCAGGGTGCAAAACACTTTGAAAGGCCTGTTATGTTCCAGAAAATTTGACTAAAGAGAAAATGGCCTCCTCAGCTCATTGGWTTCTCCTGCTTAAATCCCAGGTCATTTTCTTCACCTGAAGATTTCAAGGAGCACTGTGAATTACCCAAGGCAGAACATGTAACAGGGCTTAGGAGATGCATCAAGAGCTTCAGCAAAAACAGTAATGTGAGTAATTCATCTGAGATGTTCTGGCTAGTGATAAGGTGGGTGGAATCTGTATGTAATTTTGGATGTATAAACAATGCAACATCCGGGAATACTGCAAAGAGCTCAAAACCATTCCCTGGCTCCAGATTGAGGGGTGGACTTGATGTCGCGTGTTGTTGATATTCACCACGCTTATGGGTTCTCCTGATGGTGGGGCTGGATACACAGTGAACTAGGCCATCCTGTCATGACACATGCAGAGGAGGTGAAGAACAAAGTGATCGCATTCAGTGTCCTACATCATAATTATCTGGACTTGACCTTATTTCTTCCCTCTGAAGAGAATTAGTGCTGATCTAAGATCACCTCCAGATCTCTCTTTTTTTTTTTTCTTTCAAAAAGAACAATACCATATTTCAGGTCATTAAGTACTGTGAAGCTTCTGGTTAAAAATATTAGATGGCAATGGCAAAGTATCAGCGGAGACAATGGTGACAMAAGTCTTCTAATTATTATTATTTATTTAAATTGCTAATTTGTTTAGGTACTTCCCTCAGTCATACCTAGAAACTGCTGTACTTTTTGTGCTTTCAGGAAAAAAAATCTAACTGTTCTTATTGCTAAGGTCATAATCAGTTCTAAAAATAGACACGTTTTTTCATCTTAACCCCTCATATACAAAGATGAATGTTTAACTTGGTAAATAGCCCTAAGAAGCACTCTTTCAAACACTTTTCTTTCCAGCCAAGCTAATCTACACATTCCATATTTACTACTGTGTCATATGCATAACCCTTTAGTATAGCTGTGGAATCATGTTTTATCAGATTACCATAACTTCGTTGAGCTTCAAGATTAATGCTGAATCTTAATATTATCTTAATCTTACTGATGAAAGTAAAATATTTTTGTCAAACTACTTTGCCTCACAAAACATATCATCTGTTTTTCCAAAATAACTTTACTTCCTGCCTAGTCAGTGTATAATGATCCTAGCAAACTAAGACATCACAGTATTTAGTGACCTGTTTTCCAAAGAGAGAGAAGAATCAATCCATATTAAGTATAAATCTTTGTTTTTTTCTGTTCACCTCTGAGATTTAGGTCTTACACACACACACACACAAAAAAAAAAAAAAAAAAAAAAAAACCCACTTCATTTATTGTCAAGTATTCCTAAACCTCATATACAGGCAATGCATAAATATGAATGTTTATTAACGAAACTTGCGTGTCACTATTGGTAATTTTCCCTTGTAGACTCAATTCTTCACCACTGCAGACAGCCTAACCATAGCTGTACACTGTCAAATTGGGGAAAAGAGAACTACACCTATGCGAAAGGAGAATTTCCATCCACTTTCAAATAGTAAGTGCTTGTTTGCTTTGCAGTCTCTGGAGCTTCCCCATGAAGAGATACCTAATTTATTTTCCCCAGCAACAACTGTATAACACTCATAGCTGATTTTGGACTTACCTCTTTTCCTTGCCCCATGAAACAGCTAGCAGAGATAGACCAAACTGCATCCTGTCACTTGCATCTCTGATCTGCAGTGTCATGCCACCCACAACAAATGGGAAACTATTCAAAGGGACACTCCTATAAATGGGACATTGTTCAATTTCAATGCTTCTCTGGGAAGAGTTAGGCTCTGCTAGATCCCTGGTGTTCACAGCAGATGTCATTTGCTGTAGGATTTCTCTTTTCAAACAGGCTCAGTTGACATTCCAAAATATATATGCTGCCAAAAGTAGAGAATGTATTGCCACTTTAACCATGCTCCTCCTCCCAGCCGTGTGCTTTCACCTTCCCTTGAGCCAGCTTTGGCTTCTGTCACAGCCTTTGATGAAATTATTGAATTCTCTAATTCATCAGAAAAATATCCCCTTGGGCCATCTTTTTCTTTTCCCAGATATGTGAGTTTACTTGGCTCAAGAAAAGGTCCAGTAGAGCTRCTGCAAGGTGAGGCATGGGAAGGCATGGCAATGGTCACGTGCATGGGTGGATCAGCCTAGTCAGTCTGTGTAACTACATCTCTTGTGGCTCTCTGAAAGAGCAGCTGGGAAGCAGCTATCACTCCAGCAATGTTCCATTCCTGTCCCYACAATTGCCTCATGAATCACCCCTACACAATGAGATGCTTGGCCATGTGGAATTGCAGTGTCTCCAGGGGCCACACTCTCAGACTCACAGGAGAAGCTGCCCTTAGTGCAGTTCAGAGAAAATAGGCCTTTTGTCATCAATGTCAGTGGGGAAGATGGAGGAGCAGAGAGAGGGAAACTCATAACCATTTCATTCAGCAGTGTGTGGCTGGAGTCTGTGCATACAGCCAAGACAYAGTCCTGCTGCATGAGGTCTTCCAGGAGGGCCCTATTATAAACAGACTACACAGAGGTACAATCCTTGCTCTCTTTCTTTCCAGTCAAGCTGAGACCTCCCGGAGATCTTCAACTGATTAGGAAGTCTGAAGACACCTACAACTTAACTTGGACTCTGAATATTTCCTCTCACTACTTAGAAGGTGAGAGGGAATATCAAGTGCAGTACCGAACCATTCGTCAGCCATGGGAGGTGAGTAAAAAGCAGGAGACTGGGGCCTGACACCATATAGTTTTCTTTAGGTCAACCAGGACTGGCTGCTGGGCAGAATAACTCTCCTCTCAAGAGAGAGAAACAGTTTTAGGGAAGCTACATAGGGGATTGCCCCCCACTTTTAAATGGGTCACCTGCTGCCAATATTTAGTGATGACATGGTAGTAGATGGGAATCCTATTTCATCTGGTGCTGTGACAAGAGAAATTTAGACAGCTCCAGGACAGGTCTGGGAAGGGATGAAAAGAACAAAGAAGACTTGTCCTCCTGCATGAACAAACAAAGATCAGGGGCAAGGCTCTAAGATGGGTTCTTTCTAAGTGCCTGACCAGGATGGATATGTCAGGTTGTGAGCCACAGCAACATGGTAATGATGCGCAAATGTTTACCTTCTTCTAGGCGGCCAGGACATTTAACATCGTTCAGGACCAGATGTGGGTAATGTTCGAGAAACTCTCCCCTAACCTGAAATATGAGGCAGCTGTCCGTGCAAAACCCAGTGCCTCGAGTACCTACAAAGGCGTGTGGAGTGACTGGAGTGAGACAATATTGTGGAGGACACACGCTGACCGTAAGGATCAGAATCAGGCAATCTGACTTGGAGGGGAAGTGGGGGGACTCAGAGAAGGAAAACAGGGATAAAGGGCCAAAGCAGGCTGGGAAGCAGGAGGAAGATGGGAAGGGAGGACTGCRTTAAGTGAAAAGCAATATATAGACTAGAAACAATCTTCCTCTCCTAATCTTACAGTTAGACTGAACTTAATAGGATTTAACGACAGGAATTATCACCTGGCCCTTGGAGAGTAAGTGACAGAAGTCCATATAACTTGCAGAGACCAGGCAAAATCCACAAGACATAAAGATGTAAAGATATTACAGTGCCTTCATCCCCAGAGCAGTAAGACCAAATGTGTGACCTACAGTAGCAGTAATCATTATGGTGCAGTGAAACTCCTAAGCATAAGGAGATATGAGCCTAAGAACCAATCATTCATGGAGAATTATTGAGATTTGCATGCATGAACCCCTTCCAAAAACACCTCTCCAAATGTGTATCAATCATTACAATGAGCCCATCATAGAAGACACCTGCAGCCTTGAAATATACTGCCTTGAACAGGCCTCTGTGTTTAGTCACTGGCCCTTATCTCTGTATTTTTTTTCTGGGAAACAGGTAGCTGGAGGTTGTTCCTCCTCGTGTTGCTCCTACTCTGCCCCTGCCCAGCCTCTCCTTTTGTGCTTGGCAGTGGTATAAACAGAGCAGCTATGTTTGGAAAGGRCACTGTGTTGCTGTGGCGATCAAATTTTGACAGTGTGTGATGTCAATGAACAGGATACAGCCTCAACCAGTTGCCATAGCAACCAAGACCCAAAGATAACCAGGCTACCAGAGGCAGAAGAGACAAAGTGATCTTAGAAATATCTCAAGGACAGGCAAAGAAAGGACTTTCTAAAAATGTATCATCCTTCTTCTGTTTTTCACTGTTTGCTCACAACTACTCCAGAGGAGCACTACAGAGCAAGCTAGGGATAGAGGGAGATAAGGTGTTAGGCAGAGGAGCCTGGCAGCAGAACAGCAAGATCTAGCAAAGGTGCTTAGGGGAGATGCATGTAAAAGAAATGGATTAAGAAAAGTCTGAGTTAATGTAAGACTGGTCCAAACAGTTCTTCCAGAGCTGGGTACATGGGAACTCAGTCTCATCCTCCTAATCCTACTAGTCAAGCACCTAAATGATCATGTGATGGAGGGCCGTATTCTTCTAGCTTCCTTAAACTCTCCAACACCTCTCCAAAGTCAGCCCCATGATCCTGAAACATCTTTATCCTTGGCCCTCCTATCCTCTAATGAATGTTCATGAATCCTACGACTCGATTTACCCAAACAACCTTTAGTTACTTTTCATGTCTCCAGCATCATTGAGACTGAATTTAGGACTTCATACTTTCTTTTGCAAAGAGTGGACAGGATGTTAAACACACCCGTGCACTGTGGCACCTCATCTATAGTAACTCCCAGCTGAAGTGCTATTATGAACAAGGCRTTCACATTGTTCAACAAGGAACTGTGTATTAAACTATGTCAAGTGGACACTGAAACCAATCTCAGCTCTCAGACACCCTAGACGATAGAGCAGCATCCACTTATCTGACTTGTATCTCAGGTGTTTTTTGTTTTGTTTTGTTTTGTGGTGGTGGGGCTGTTTGTTTGCTTGTTTGTTTATTTTCAGAGGTATATTATAATACTGAAAGGCTCACTTTGACGGGCTTGAACAGCCACTGCAGCTCCAGAATCTTGGATAAATTTTCACAACAGCTCTCTCTTTTTCTCTCATCTTACAGAAACATCCTTCCTAGTCCTACCAGTTCTTATTGTGAGTATTTGCGTCTTTGTGATCATCTGGACTGCCCTCCTTGTTAACCCAAGGACCCTGAAATGGTAAATAGGAGTCAAGTGCTACTCTCTGTTCCGATCCTGTTTCCTACAAATCTCCTCAAAAACAAATTTAATTTTTACTCAGTATTACTGAGGATAAAGAGGGACTCCCAGATRTGGCTTATAGCCAGCCTTTTGAAGTTAATATTAATCTCCCAGATATATTACAACCCAGCATTATGTGGTACTGGTAATATTGTCATACTGTGACACTCTACTCTCATGTGACATGACCTTGTTGAGTTCAAAATAGCTGCCAATTGCCCTTTGGTAAGAGCAATGTTCCTTCAGTGGGATGCTTCAGAGGGATGCACCAAAATTGCCTCGTAAAAAATAGGCCACTGGGCTGAGCACTCTCCCTAGAGAGAGGAACAAGCAAGCATAGGTAGTACCGCCCTCTCACTTAAACTCTCTATTCAGAGCTCAGGCAGAGTACAGCTGTATTTGCTCTAYAGACAGGATCCCTAAGTGAAGAGTACCTTTTTTTTTTTCTCCATTTGGCTGCCCTACATTTCCTCCCCACACTCCGGTAAACATCTACAAAGTACCTTAAAGACCTCATCTCTTTGCCAGAATTTCTGCTCAGAAAATGCTCTTAGTCAGAACTGAATGTGTCTCACAAGGTTACCCAATGTAACAGTAATACAGAGAGTGACCTGTCAGCAAACCAGGATTTGAAATGGTTTCAGGTTGTAATTTCCTCAGCTCAGTGCAGGGACAGAGAAACAAGATGCTAATGTTAGTGCTAGGGAGCAGGAAGAAATGCTTTCAGGGAAGGAGGGAGCAGAATCTGTAATGGCTGCTCCGTGAGGAAAGAAGAAGTGTATTAAATAAAGATGAGTGCTGAGAAAGTCTCTGGTCACTATGGTTTACTTCAAGTACAGATGAGAAAGTGCTAGCTACAAGGCACACAGATACAAAGACTTCTTTCTCCACAGAGAATAATTAACACACAGGATTTGACGGAGGATAATTGTGAGGTAAGATCCAAGGAAGGATTAGACATGCATGAATAAAAATAGTGTCTGCAGTGGTAGGTGGTAAGGTAGTTTATATGCAAGAACTATCAAATCTTTATGCTCCAGAGAGTACACTGATGGACTCCAGAGGTCAAGAGGTTATTTTCTGAGCAGACCACCATAAAGTTTCAATAAACAGTTGGTAGGATCAGCCGACCTCTCTAAGTAAGAGGGAAATGGATTAAATCATTTTGTGCTTCTCCTGTGTGACAAAACACTGCCTCCAGTAAAGCAGGAGCAGTTGCACTGGTGCAAAAACATGTTCAAATGGTCTTGCAWGTAACAGAACAGGCACTGACAGGAGCTGCTCAGGTCCTGTGCTCTTCTGAGTCATTGAGAGGGCAGCAAAGCAAAAAGGGGAGCCCCCCAGCATATGTATCTTTGAAATAAGACAGACCTGTCCAGCTTAGCAGGGTGGGTTGCCCAAGGTGACCAGTGAAAGTGGGGAAGGCTGTAAATTGTCGGCTG